TCAAATGTAAGTTGTTCTTTTAACGCTGAAAGACTTATTTAGGATGGTTCCTAAATAAGTCATAGTGGAATAAGTTAGTGGATTGGTTAATGATATGTTATGTGTTGGATTATAATCGACATTTCTGATTTAAAAAATTTCTTATTCTGTATTACTCACAGGCTATTGTATTGTATGTGGATTGGTTAATGATATGTTATTTGTGTTGGAATTTCTGATTTAAAAATTTTCTTATCCCGAATTACTTACGCACTGTCGTAATATAGGGTATTGTATTGTATGTGGATTGGTTAATTTGTGTTGGAATATAATCGACATTTCTGATTTAAAAATTTCTTATTCCGTATCAGGGCTTAACCCACAATATTAATTTGCCGGCCATTCGAAAGTGCCATTCTTGATCTATAGTAGATTAGATAGTAATTGGCCGGTATGGTAAACAATAAGATGTACAATATACTAATTTTGATGAATCAAAAAGAACACTTTGAACAATAGCAATGGCGCAGTAAATGGTCGGCAAATTAATATAGTGGGTTAAGCCCTGGTCGACTGAACCGATTCCAATCCTTAACTGGATTATCCGGATTGAAACTAAAATTACCCACGTAATCGTTACAAGAGAATAAATATCAGATGCTTCTGTAAATGACTTTCCTTGCAAAACTTCAGAGCTAAATAAGGAGAAACTCCATAAATTCCATCTGATCCTTCTTCTATTAGAAAAGTAAATATCGCCCAACCTCAATAATTTTTAACGCGTCTTCGCGCCAGTGACACAAAGACAAACAAGGAAATCGTGACAAATAACATATTCGTAAATTCAGGAATTGGTGATTGAATTTGGTGTTAGGGTGAGCAGCTATAATTAAGGGATCATTTGTTATATGTAAAATTGCGTCTTCAATTATCGTCTATAATCAATTTATGCACTCATTTTCCCATATTCACATTTCTTTTGAACGCGTCAGAATTTGTATCACTATGCAGATAAGTATACACGAACCATAACCATCAAAATCTTTTGCGTATTCGCAGATTAAAATCGGGCTTCCACCCAGCAGATAATTAAGTTTATGACTACACACATTAATTCAAAACTAGATGAAGATTTTATAAAAATGTATTCAAATGGGATTTATTATAATAATGATTGCGAGGGATAAGTTTCAACTAGGATTTATTGATTTAATTTGTCTATAGAAAACGCGACTAACAAATATGATATAGCAATGCCAGTTTGGTAACGTTGAGCTCAATGAAGAGAATAGTTTAGGTAATAATCACAAAACTTCATAACATAATTTACTGCGCAGAGCAAGATAAAATTTTACTGATCGATGCTATTCTTAATATATTGACAGTAGAAAACGTTTTATTTCGTCCTTTCCATTTTTAAAAGATGTTTCACTTACTTCAAAGCTTTTTATACATGGATCATTTTTCAGATTGGTATTGACCAATTAGATCATATATAAAGCCAAAACAACAATAGGTTTAATATTAAGATGCAAAAAATAATATCAGAGAAAGCTAAAAGGTTGACAGTTTTTATGTTACAGTCACCCGCTGTCCCATTGGTCGTCTCAAAAATATAAATTAAAAACAAAACCTGATTTATTGAAAATTAATATTTATATCGATAATATCATGATAAACAAGATAAATAAATATGTCAAAGCTCAAGATATATAAATTCGGATATATACAATTCAAAAAACGCGAAAAATACCATGCTGAATAATCAAAATATTAACTGAAGACTTTTACGTGTTAGAGAAATCATGCACATGAATGCGCATTGATGGCTGACACAGATTTGTAAATCATTATCTGACATCAGATAATGGATCACTTGACTGGTGGTTACATAGAACACTTTAACACTTTAGCCATCGCCAAAAGGAATTACTATTCTTAAAGGAATTACTTGACGATTTGATTTGGAGAAGAAAGTAGTTTTTAATTTGCGAAACTGTTTGATATTTCAACTATTTAAATGATACACCAGAATTCGAATATAAAGTAAAACCGAAACTCATCGGACACAAAAAAAACCGACAACGATTCTTATTTATAGTTAATTATATAAGATGATTACATATTATTACGTAATCCGTGTTGAATCCCATGTTTAGTGCTTTGTACATTGTACGTAATCATAACACATAATGCAACTTACGTGAAATAAATTACGTTGTAAGTAATGATAATCGATGATTTTTTTCTATATTTGTGATTCATTCAGGTTGTTTGTTCTACATTTTATTCAGGAAAGGTTTTTAAAACTTACTTTGCATTATTTTATTTTTTCCGTTGCTTTAGTCTAACCTCGTGGGATTACCCATGATAGGTACGAAAATCTGTCAACGGAAATTAAAGATTTGGATCTAAAAGATTTTCTTCTTACATAATTGATTTTAATATAAGGTTATCACTGTAAGCAAAATAGGAAACTTTGGTAATTCTACTTGCCTTTAAAACTGAAAATTTAAAGTCGTACTTCATTGTCGATTTCTTTATAATCTCTATATAGAATGCGCTGACATAAAGCGCGGCTGATTTTTGTGCGCGTCCCAAATCAGGGAAAGCACAGTGCATCGATCAAGTTCCAAAAATACATATTACATTGGTTCATAGACGTCATACAGTAAAGTATTCGTCTTTTGATGCACTTATAGCTTTTTACACAATTCTCTGTGATTTATTTTTCTTATTAACTTCAAAAAAAATATGATTAAACTATAGATGGAAAATTATATAAGGCTGTTTTCTACCCTTTTTTTTTTTTTTTTTTTGTGTGCGTATATAAATTTTTTTTTTAATAAAAAAAAAGGTTGCATTGTTTTTAGGAAGCTATAGTGAAAGCAATGTCTCTTCCTTCAATACAAAGAGTTTTTCTACAATCTATTGCTGCGGCAGACCCTGAGGGCCATTTTGTAAATGTCGATAATATTCAAACATATTATAAGATAGCAATTCCCCAACACCATCAAATCCTCCTTCAGAATCAACAACCACTTCCATACGAACCTCACAAACCCGTGATTCTCTGTCTTCACCATTTTCTAGGAAATCAGTACACATGGAAATTTCTTATGCAACCTTTAGCCGATGCTACAGGTTGCCATGTTATCGCCTATGATAGGGTGGCGTTTGGTTTCACTGAGAGACCAGATCAGTGGGAAGAAGGCAAGAATCCTTATACCCAATCTGCTTCTGTGGAATTTGCTATCCAATTGCTGGTACAATTGGGATATGGTACGAAAAAGATAATATTAGTTGGTTGTTCCACTGGTGCAGCTATATCTTGCTCAATTGCAATCAGATTTCCTGATTTAGTTCATTCTTTAATTCTGATTGGCCCTTCATTGAGACCCGATGATCAAGGTAAATTTATTAATTTTACTGAATTTAGCAATGACTCTTGCACATGACTTATTTGTTGATCGTATTTGCATAGGCCCACCCCCTGTAGCGCGTAATGTCTTAGGTTCAGCACCAGGAAAGCTATTTCTTAAAACCATATTACATCGATATATTCCATTAACAACTCTTTATCACGACGTTCATTCAATGCAAGAATGGGAGACAGTGATCAAGCCGTGTTATCGCGTTCCACTTAACTTGCCGAATTTTTATGAGTCGGTTTCGTGGTTGATTAAATATTTTATTCCTTTTGAAATATTACCTAATAAACATATGTTACACCAATTTCCTATATTATACATCGCCGGAGATGATGATAAATATGTAGAAAAACAAAAAGAAATTTTTGATGAAATGATAGAGGGAGCTCCTAAAAATGCTATACTGGAATATAGTGTGATAGAAAACTGTGGTCATTTGCCACAAGATGAAAAACCTCAGGAGGCTTTAGATTTAATAATCGGTTTTCTCAGAAGACTTAATATTCACTGAGAATAGATCTCTAGTCTAAACTCGTATCCGTAAAATCATATATATATTACGAACTTTAATCTCGATATTATAATTCGCTTTTTTATTTTATTTTTTCGAAGTAATTGGCAAAATCGAAACACCTATACGTCTAAAATACTTTTATTTATGAATATGACAAGAACTAATTTATTTTTCTTTCGCGGACAAAATGCCGTTCAGGTTGTCCGAAACCACGGGATTTTTCGCATAATTGTGTATAGATATAGTAATCGTAATACATTAGAATACATGCGCAGACCTAAGATTTATAATGTGTCTCAGACTTTATATTTTAGATTATGTAATTCATGTACTTATATTTATTATTTAATGATAATTTTATGTGGTATTAAGAGAAAGAATGCATTTATTCTTTCACCAATAAGAACATATTAATTTTAAAAAGATAATTGTTAAAATAATTATTCATGTTCAGATTAATATTTATTAACATAATTTACATAATTTCCTTTTTTTATTTTAAGAAAATAACCATAAACAGTATTTGAAACCATCTAATACGTATAAAAAAAAAAATGCAAGATATACTTTTTGAGCGTATTTTATGTACGTATAACATGAATATTTAATGACTATATAGCTATATTTTGGATGTTTACAACAATCGACAGTAATTATTGGAATTGACCGAATTTAGAGTTAACACCTCAATCTGAATTTATATTTTAAATCCAGATCAATTCTTTTTTTTCAAATATGAGTCAATTTATTTTTAATGTTATATTATATCAGACTAAATTTGCCAGGAATAGGTAACGTTGAAAATAACTTCTTTGTTATTATGTAAATTTATTACTTGCTGTTTTGCAAGTAATAAATTTACATAATAAACAGTCACGAACCTTTAAAGTGATTTTGCTTCAATGTTGCTTGCATTCGTAAGAATAGATAGTGGGCGCAACTAGTATTTCGACCCGTAATCCGACCAATTCGGATAGATCCGATAATTCGGATTAAATTCGGATATATTCGTTAATTTTTAACGGATGGATCCTAATTTATAATGGATTATGGATAAAAATAATCCAAAAATCTTTTATGTGATTGGTCACAACTGATAGGCTTTGATGATAAATACATTAGCTAGAACTGGATTGAGAGAGACGTAAATTTAATGAAAGGAAAATTATTGCATCGCTGCATTCATGACTTTAGATTATCAAATATATCGATCGGTAAATAATGCACACCTATTTATAATAAAAAATTATATTGATCCTATCAATTACTGTAAAAAGACAATTTGAATTAGCAAGAATAATTATTTAAAAAATAACAAAAGCAAACTATAAATATGTGGGTTACACATTTCTAACAGTCCTTTCTTAGAGTCACTATTTATTAAATAAATAACAAATATATAGATAATCTTTTTGATATTATTACTTTATCTGATATCTACACTAATAATTATATTGAAAAAAAGATCTTTAAGCTTGTAGAGAACTTAAAAATTAAAATTAAAATTAATGATTTTTACTAATTAAATAACTAAAATTGTTATATGTGAACTATATACATTAAATAAATGATTATGATCTTAAACCAATGTTCCGAATTGAGCCGGCTCAATTAGGCTTACTCAATATTCCCATTGGCTCATTAAGGCTTATTTAGTTTTTATACTA